TTTGGCGTACCCCGCGCGCCACCCCTCAACTGTGCGATATGGGACCCAGGGTGTCACGGGAGCGCGCGTAAATTCTGAAAAGTGTATACTCTCTTCAACTTTGTCACCTTAATTCTCGTCCTACGAGATTAAATTTTGTATCATTGTGTTCGCAATAGAATTCTCTACAGCACTAAATGCATATAAACTCCAAAAGCTCGGCTAATTACCCGCAGCAAACAGAGAAAGTGCGAACGGGTTACCCAGGAGCGCGGAAACGCGATAAAATGTTTTCACTATTTTCACTCTGGTCACCTCAGTTTTCGTCCTAGATCTTTCATTTTGGTCTCAATGGGTTTGCAATAGAATTCTCTAGAGGAACATTAGCATATAAAATAAAAAACCTGGTCACGCTCCAACCGCCGACGAGTTGAAGACAGGCCATGCGTTAGCCGCGAGTGAGCGCTCAGATGCCTTCCAGCTACACTCCCAATTCCCGCCCTTTTCAAGCCTTTCTTTCGCAGTTTTCTTCCTGGAAGGGCCTTGTTCATGATCACTATCCATCGTGGAGTAAGCGTAGATAGTTTCTAAAGCTGCAGTAAGAAATATAGCCACGGAAAATAGCCGAAATGTTCACACGTTTGAGATGCAAGGGGAGGCGACATTGGTCACAACAGTGGAGCGAAAACAATGGGCCCACGGCGTGTGCCAAGCCGCCTGAGGGCCACGAAGCTCAACAAAGAAAATGGGAAGACATCGGCACGCATTTTAAAACCAGTCCCAAAAAAATCGGATAAAAACCTGATTTTTGGCGTTTATTTAATGTTGATGACTCAATGCTGCGTCATCCCCGGCATTACCGACAGTAAACGGATGACGCAATGCTGCGTCATGCCCGGGCGAAAGTGTTAACTTGCATACCATGCAAGGCGATGGAAAAGATTGCGCGAAAAAACTATTAGAAAATCTGGAGTGAAAGAACTTTGTAACACAGCATCAGCATGGGTTCCAGGGTGGCAAATCTTGCCTCACAGGATTAATTGAATTCTATGACCAGACAACAAAAATCAGGCAAGAAAGAGAGGGCTGGGCAGACTGCATATTTTTGGATTGCCAGAAAACCTTTGACAGAGTACCACACAAGAGACTAGTACACAAGCTGGAGATGCAGGCAGGAGTGAAAGAGAAGTTACTCCACTGAATAAGGGAGTACCTAAGCAACAGAAGATAGTGAGTCACTCTGATTGGTGAGGTCTCAGAGTGGGAAGGCTTCACCAGTGAAGTCACACAGGGTTCAGTTCTTGGAACTACTGTAACCACGTGATTATCCAAGATTCAAACATCCGGAAAATGCCCTTATACGGCCAAAATCGTGATTGGATAAAGTTATCACAATATCCGGCCAAAATGGTCACAGGAACTGGATAAAAGCTGATTTAGCCGGATGAAAATTTGGCCATACCGTATTAATCCCGTCTGTGGCTCAAGACACATGGTAGAGGACGGGGTGGGGTGGGTGGGTGGTGTCGGGAGGGACCACCTGGGTACAGGAATTACCATTAATTTTAGAACAATTAATCATAGCCAAAAACAAATGAAATAAGTACTAGTAATTATGTAATAACAAATAAATAAGTTCCTAAAAGCAATGTGCACAGGCTGAAGTTTCCTTCAAAAATATTATGAGTTTTTCCTCCTGGCAGCCTACATAACGTGCTATAACTGCCCCACCCCAAGTGGACCCGTCCAACACTGGTCAACCCACTGTTGACCAGTGTTGACAAATACCCTATTAATATCCCTTTTGTTGTGTCCATTCATCCACTTGTAAACCTCTTATCATGTCACCCCTAACTCTTCGCCTTTCCAGTGAATGCAACTTAAGCTTTGTTAATCTTTCTTCATATGAAAGATTTCTAATTTGGGGAATTAACTTAGTCATCCTACGCTGGACACGTTCAAGTGAATTTATATCCATTCTATAATACGGTGACCAAAACTGAACTGCATAATCTAAATGGGGCCTAACCAGAGCAAGATATAGCTTAAGAACCACACCAGGTGTCTTGTTACTAACGCTTCGATTAATAAATCCGAGTGTCCTATTTGCCTTATAACGAACATTCATGCATTGATCCTTTTGTTTTAAATTCTTATTAATCATAACTCCCAGATCCCTTTCGCAATCCGACTTCGCAATCTCAACACCATCTAGCTCGAATCTTGTAACTCTATCATCATTACCTAGCCTCAGAACTTTACATTTATCAGCATTAAACTGCATCTGCCAATCCTTTGACCATTTCAAAACCCTATTTAGATCAACTTGAAGTGATAGTGAGTCTTCTTCTGAATTAATTTCCCTACCGATTTTTGTATCATCGACAAATTTGCAAATGTTGCTACTCAAACCTGAATCTAAATCATTTATATCAATTATAAACAACAGAGGTCCCAGGACAGAGCCTTGAGGCACTCCACTTACAACATTTTCCCACTCTGACTTGACTCCATTTATACTAACTTTGTTTCCTTTGGTTTAGCCATGCCCTAATCCAGCTTAATATAGCTTCAAGTTGAAAAATCGCTTCAACTTGCGATATTTCGACTTACGATCCGTCTCTGGGAATGGATTACCATCGTAAGTCAAGGCCCCGCTGTACATCAATGACATAAATGAGAATACAGTGGTACCTTGGTTTACGAACGCCCCTCTTTACAAACTTTTCGGGTTACGAGTCCGATTTGTTCGGAAAATTTGAATCGGGTAACGAAGTTTACCTCGGGATATGAGTTTCTTGATACATGTATGGCTGACCTAGCACGTGGCAGTACGGCGATCGCCATCTCAGTTTACCAGTGCCTCGCGCCCAGTGACCTGAATCCCGGCTGAATCCTTCGCAAGAATTTACAGTTTTTTTCGGATTTTTGGCTATTTGAGCATAGAAGTTATTATGTATTTCGCCATGGGTCCCAAGAAAGCCAGTGTTTAGGTTCAAGGCAAGAAATCACATTTGAGAATGACCATAGAGGAAAAACAAGAAATCATTCATAAATATGAAAATGGTACACGTGTTGTTGAACTAGCTAGGCAGTATAACAAATTGTCAGGGGAGGAGGCAGTAGAGAATGTCCCTTCCTCATTAATTGGAAAATGTGTGCAGTAAGGGAAGAACTGCAGAGTTTTGCTGAAACGAATCATCCAGATAAAGCTAACTGCGCCACTTAACTGCGCCAACCGAGTATTCTCGGTCGGTGGAAAACTGCGCCAACTGAGAAAACTCTCTTTGATTTTTTGGTACCAATTCTAAATGTGTATGAGGTTGGTTGTGTACGAAATGGACTCTTAAAACATCCAGTGAGAGGTAGCCATCTTGGAAAAAATTCCCAGAATGCCCTAGGGCTGCTGGCTGGGTTAGTACTGAATGAGCAACCATGGGTGGTGCACACACCTCTGGCTCCCAAACACCTGTCCGACGGGGTATTGAAAGACGACGCTCTGTCGGTGAAATTCAAACCTTATTGTTTGAAGAACATAAGGGTTATAATATTGGTGAAGCTAGGTGCAATAAGGACCTAACAGAAAAATAACATGCAAGTGATACAGCACCTATGAGGATGATACAACGAGCATATCCAGTTGTAGCTCAGAGCGTCAACCTTGCAATCCTATGCTATCTACAATTTATTTAGATGATACATAGATGAATCGTTTTCTGTGTTCAGTGATGATGCATCTGATACAAATAGCATAGATGAACAGTGTTAGCGACTTCCATGGTGGTGTTTTCCTTAAATATTTTCAAGAATACCTGAATCTCTTCCTAACTGACAGACACTCTTTGAGGCTAGCTGAATCTCTTTCTGACTAACGGACACTCTTGAGGTAAGCTGAATCTCTTCCTGTATGGGACCACACAAAGTGATCTTTTCAAGACTACCTTACAAATTTATCTTTTCCTATAATCTTTTCAATACTACCTTATGCTTTACAAGCTTGGCTATATACAACCTACAAGTACTAAAGCCAAGGGCGTACGTTAGTGTATTATTTGCAAACACACAGAATGAAGAAACAGGAAGCGAAAATTTATCTGTACCTGGTGCACTGAGAGCGAAATCGTGGTGTTTACCATGGGCTACTTCGTTGATTATTACTCACTTCTGAAGTACTGAGTGTGTAATACAGTGTGTTACTGCGTAAATAGTGTGTGAAACTGTACATATTGTAATTTTAGTGAATTTTTAACAGGTAATATTGCGACAATAAACATTTATTGTTGACACATTACTGACACATGTATCACTGTTCCGTGGAACATTATGAACGTTCTACTGTATACATAATGTAAAGAACACAAATATGCATCATATACGATAAAAAACAAATAAAACTGCATTGGAAATACATAAAACAAATAATTGAAAATATATTTGTGGTGTGACGATAATCTCTTTCAAGAGAGATTGAGCCTGCTCTTCCCTACATAATTACGTCAAAATACAGGATACTATATACAAGATACGTCCACCAAGTATCGCCAAACGTTTTGCCCAGAGAGCAAATCGTACCCAGCACACCTGGCCACCGCCGTAACCAGCTAACTGCTCATCCTTTGCCTGCCTGTTGCTGATTGGCTGGTGTCTCGTCGCACCTGCCCTCCGCCACCACCACAAGTCGACGTCTGGGCTGCAGTGCGCCAGTCTCGTCAGAATATCTCAGTGCTCCATGCAGTTGACATCTCTCGCTAGTAGACTAAGCCTTGACTTTCGTGTACTAAGGGAGGTGGCAGCTCGAAGCCAGTATTCCAGCACTCATATTTTATTTTGCTATCACTGTAACTTACTTGTCTTAACGTAACTTTTCATTTGCCAGTGATTATTCATGTTATTTTGTTTGTTGACTTGTCTTGCATATTTTTATGAGATTACCTTTATTCATGTCTTGTTTTTCTAGAGTAACTAAAATTTCATTGTTTATATACTTGTGTTTTGTGTGTCTTCCCATTACCTTACCACAGACGAAAGGACCAACTTTTCTCTTTTTTTTTTGATTATGTGACGAGGCCCTGCCCCTAGCTTTTGAAACAGCCGAACACCAACGCCTTACCGTCACAGTGGCAACACCCGATGCTTGAATGGTCCGCACGACAGTGTCTGGGCGATTCACGCACGGGCGACCAGGCCCTGATGATGTCACGGCGCACCTTGTCCACGTCCTCACAGCCAAAGTAAGTGGAATTTGGTATTTATTTTTACATAGACATGTACAAGAAAGGGAATTTATCATTTTACGAAGAAAAAATCATTTTTTGGGAACACTTTATTTCATGCGCACCGGGGTAATTTCACAGTGTAGTTACAGGATGAGAGCATAGCTCTCATCCTGTAACTACACTTAGGTAATTACAATAAACTCGGCGCAGCACGGTGGTTAACAGGCCATTGCATTGATCTTATTAATGACAATGTGATGTCTCACTACAGACAAGTGTTACAAAGAAGGGAAAACAATCAAGAAAAAAATGAGAAAATTATGCAGAGAGCCATAAACAGGTCCTAGTGGTATGCAGGCAAAACGTGCCAGAGTGAGTACCCCAGAGAAGTCCTCACTGCCTGATGTTATAATGGAAGGGGACTCTCCTTCCAAACAGTAACACCTCTCGTCCTCCCCCCTCCTCACCGTCTTCCATATGCCAACAGGAGTCACCAGTAAAAGTAAGTAATAACTTGTACATACTTTTGTAGTGAAGATTTGGGTGAATTAGGTATAAAATTTACTTTGAAGTGAAGTTTTTTGGGGAGTCGGGAACGAATTAATTCATTTCCCAATTATTTCTTATGGGGAAATTGGCTTCGGTGTAAGATTTTTCGGTTACGAACCATCTCCAGGATCGGATTAAATTAAAAAACCTAGGTGCTCCTGTATTACAAACCACATCGTCAAATTTGCAGATGACACCAAAATCTATGGTAAAGTGGGAAGTGAAGGGGATATTGAGACCTTACAAAATGATCTACATAAACTCCAAAAATGGTCAAATGACTGGCAAATGCATTTTAAGTCAATAAATGCAAGACCTTACATGTGGGGCACAACAATCCATGTCACAACTACCAAATTGACAGCACTACCTTACAACAGATAGATGAAGAAAAGGACTTTTGAGTCAGAATCGATCATTCATTAAAAGTTGCACAACAAGTGGAAGCAGCAGTAAAGAAAGCGAACCAAACCCTGGGAATAATGAAGCGTATCTTTACTTTCAAGGAAAGGAAAGTAGTCATTCAATTGTATAAGTCTGTGGTGCGTCCCCACCTGGATTATTGCATCCAGGCATGGAGACCTCATCTTCAGAAATACATTGCTGTTCTGGAGAAGGTGCAACCCTGGGCAACAAAAATCATACCAGAGTTCAGTCTTCTCACGTATCAGGAACGGTTGAGGGCCACTGGACTAACAACACTGAAAATCAGGCACGACGGGGCACATCCCATTAACATCCTTTAACATATTAAAAATTTGGAGGATGTCAATTTCTTCAATTTCTTCAAAATGTAACACAAACGAGGAACAACGAGTTCAAGCTCAACAAATCACAATGTCGGACAGGAAACAGGAGATGCTTTTTCACCATGGGATTGTAAACCCCATGGAACTGCCTACTCACTGAAGCCGTAAACGCCAAAACTCTGCCGAGTTTTAAATTCAACTGGAAAAGATTATCAGGACAAATGGGGGGGATTTTCGACAATCCGCTGGCTTTGAGTTCTCATCGTATCCTCATGTAAATTCAGATAAGAAAAAATGAACCTGGAGAAAGTGCAAAGGTATGCCACTAGGCTAGGCTCAGAACTAAGAGGCATGAGTTATGAGGAAATGCTGTGTTAACTGCACCTCATGTCACTGGAAGACAGAAAAAAAAAAGAAGAGCGGGGGCTGACATGATAACCACATACAAAATTCTCAGGAATATTGACAGGGTAGATAAGGATGTAGTATTTAACACAGGTGGTACATGCACGAGGGGACACAGGTTGAAGGTGAGTACCCAAATGAACCACAGAGATAATAGAAAGAACTTTTTCAGTGTCAGAGTGGTTAGTAAATGGAATTCCTTAGGAAGTGGTGGAGGCTGACTCCATACACAATTTCAAATGTAGATATGATAGAGCTCGAGAAGCTCAGGAATCTGTACACAGCTAGAATATGCAGCTGTTGTGTGGTGCCCATATCTTAAGAAGCACATCAACAAACTGGAAATGGTGCAAAGACATGCTACTAAGTGGCTCCCAGAACTGAAGGGCAAGAGCTATGAGGAGAGGTTAGAAGCATTAAACATGCCAAAACTAGAAGACAGAAGAAAAAGAGGTGATATGATCACTACATACAAAATAGTAACAGGAATTGATAAAATCGACAGGGAAGATTTCCTGAGACCTGGCACTTCAAGAACAAGAGGTCATAGATTTAAACTAGCTAAACACAGATGCCGAAGAAATATAAGAAAATTCACCTTCGTAAATAGAGTGGTAGACGGTTGGAACAAGTTAAGTGAGAAGGTGGTGGAGGCCAAGACCGTCAGTAGTTTCAAAGCGTTATATGACAAAGAGTGCTGGGAAGACGGGACACCACGAGCGTAGCTCTCATCCTGTAACTACACTTAGGTAATTACACTTAGGTAATTACACACACACATTCATACCAAAACAGAGATGCAGGACTAAAAAACAGGATTCGTTCAACAAAAATTGTGAGAGGGAGGGCCAGAGAGGAATAGACTAGAAAATGGGCTTAATATCGTAAGAGGCCTAACCCGCAAACATAGCAGCTTGCTTGCACTATAAGCAAGCAAGGAACAATTATACAGCAGTGAGAAGAGAGGCAGAAAGGAACTTTGAGAAAGGTATAGTGAACAAGTGTAAAACAGATCCAGGCCTTTTCTATAAATTCATTAAAAGCAAGCTGCATGTAAAGGATAAAATCCAGAGATTGAGAACAGGGGAACAGGACTACTGAGAATGAAAATGAAATGTGTAAAATGCTAAATGAACAGTTTCAAGTTGTGTTTGTACAGTGTGAGGATTTCAGAGAGCCGGATCCAATACCAATTTCAGAGTACGCCATAGAATACATAGAATCTCAAGACGAAGTTAAAAAATTACTCAAAGGGCCAAGGAAAAAATAAAGCAGTTGGACCTGACAGAGTTTCATCTTGGGTGCTGGGAGAATGTACAACTGAGTTGAGCGTTCCACTCCAATTAATATGCAGATGGCAGACATAGAATGCTTTCAGCCACATGGGGGTTTCTTTAGGCCATTGCTCTTCGTACCTCTCTGAGGGGGGCCAGGTTCTGGCTCGTGGTCCCTGGTATGCCTAGAACTCCATTCACATTGATCCCAAAGTCTAATATATTATTATCAGCCTGGATATCTCTGGGAAGCCTCTGGGTCTCACCCAGAAAATGGCATTTCATTACATTCAACTCTGGTTTTATAAAGTTAGGAACAAGTATACAGTGGTACCTCGAATAATGAATTTAATCCGTTCCGGCGCCGTGTTCGTCATGTGAAACGGACGTCATACAAAACGAATGTCCCCATTTAATCACTGTGATGCGCTGTGTTTATTGTGAAATTCCCCCAGTGTGCATGACATAAAGTGTTCCAAAAAAATCATTTTTCTTTGTAAAATGATAAATTCCCTTCCCTGAACATGTCTATGTAAAAATAATTACCAAATTCCACTTACTTTGACTGTGAGGACGTGGAGAAGGTGCGCTGTGACGTCATCAGGGGCTGGTCGCCCATGTGTGTGAAGCTCCCAGACACGGTCGCGCAGGCCATTCAAGCACTGTGTGTTGTCACAAATATATTTTCAAATATTTCTTCTATGTATTTCCAATGCGGTTTTATTTGTTTCTTTTATTGTCTATGATGCATATTTGTGACCTTTACGATATGTATACAGTAGAATGTTCATAATGTTCCATGGAACTGTGATACATGTGTGTGTCAGTAATGTGTCCACAATAAATGTTTATTGTCACAATATTACATGATAACAATTCACTAAAATTACAATATGTACAGTTTCACATATTATTTACACAGTAACACACTGTATTACACACTCAGTACTTTGGAGGTGCATAATAATCAAAGAAGTACTGTAGTCCATGGTACACAGCACGACTTCGCTCTCGTTGCACCAGCTACAGATAGATTTTCGCTTCCTGTTTCATCATTCTGCGTGCTTGCAAATAACGCACTCGCGTACACCCTTGGCTTTAGTACTTGTAGGTGGTATGTAGCCAAGCTTGTAAAGCACAAGGTATTATTGAAACGATTATAGGAAAAGCTCAAATTGTAAGGTAGTCTTGAAAAGATCGCTTTGTAAGGTTCCACACAGGAAGAGATTCAGCTGGCCTCAAAGAGTGTCCGTCAGTCAAAAAGAGATTCAGGTATTCTTGAAAATATCTATGAAAAACACCACCATGGAAGCTGCTGATACTCTTCATCTATGCTACTTGTATCAGATGCATCATCACTGAATGCAGAAAACGATTCATCTATGTATCATCTATATAAATTGGAGATGGCAAGGGTGGGGCTCAGAGCTACAACTGGATACGCTCGCTGTATCATGCTCATAGGTGCTGTATCACTTGCATCCGACCGTTGTGTTTAATCCTTATTGCTCTTAGCTTCACCAATATTATGACTCTTATGTTCTTCAAACAATAAGGTCTGAATTTCACCGACTGAGCGTAATCTTTCAACACCGTGTTGGACAGGTGTTTGGGAGCCAAAGGCACGTGTGCTACAAATAGTTGCTCACGCAGCACTAACCCAGCCAGCAGCCCTAGTCTTTCATATTTGTTATAGCAAAAGATTCGTTCAGTGTTTGTTGGGTAGGCTGCTCCATTATGACAATCTTTGTTTCAAATGTGTTCCAATTGTTTTGTATTTGTCACTTATGTCTCAATAATGGTGCAGCCTACCCGACAAACACTGAATGAATCTTTATAGCATTTGTCCATTTTTCAAATTGTTTCAAATGTTTTTTTATTTTTATTTTTTTTATATAAGAAACATGGAGCAGCCTACCTGTAGACCGCCGAACGAACCTTTTTGACTTTTGGTTTGGTTTTCAAATTTCTTCATTTTTTTTATTATTTACATTTTTTTATGTAAGAAACATGGGGCAGCCTACCTGCCGACCACTGAATGAACCTTTCGCTATAAGACAAGTGAAAAATAAATATTGAACACATTTGAAGAAAGGAAAATGCCATAAAGGTTTGTTCAGTGTATGTAAGGTAGGCTGCTCCATTATTGAGACATAAATGACAAATACAAAACAAATGGAACACATTTGAAACAAAGATTGTTATAATGAAGCAGCCTACTTGCAGAACACTGAACGAACCTTTTTGGCATTTGTTGTAGTTCAAAAATTTCATTTATTTTTTCTACAAAAACGTCAGTGCTTGGCAACATCTCAGCGGTCACCCCTTTATTATATCATAGCATCATTAGCATCTTTAACCCCTTCCACTGCTCAGGGGTCCCGAGGACATTTACACCCCTGTGCGCAAGAAAAATAATTCTAAAAAATTATTTTGTCTTCTTAAAATGTTAATATGTGTTCCCTGAGCATGGGAAAAAAAAATCGTAGGTGACATATTTTGGGCGCAATTGACAGAGGAAATCTGGCAAAAAGTGGGCGTTGACAGAGCAATAGTCAGAGCCGGTCAGCGTCACCCGCGCTGACAGGTGGGAGTTGCCACAAAGATATTATCACTTAATTATTTCTATGTCTCTGATTGATTTTGTCTTAGTTTTTTGCAGTAATATTATTCAATAGTGTGTATTGTAATATATTTATATAATAAAAGTGGTGAATAATTGCTATACTCAAAAGTATGGTGTGCATATTAGTGATTCAATTATTATGTTCATAAAACAATAAACAAATAGTTCTGCTGCTATTACACTCTATACACAGGTTATATATAAGTATCTGCATGTTTTGTTCACCATAACGAACCACTAAGTTGGTACTGAGAGTCGAAAAGCAACGAGGAGTGACCGCCACACACCAGCCAGCCACTCGCTGCCACTCCCTCAACAACGCCTCACTCGCCCACTTTTTCCTCCCACCATCCTGTTTTATGGTTTATTCAAAATATACAGACGTTATATATAAGAATCAACATGTTTTGTTCATCACAACTGTACAACTAAGCTGATATAGTTAGTTCAGGCACTAAGAGACGTCGCTACACACACAGTCAGCTGGCGGCTCCCTCACTCATTCAAGGTCACATGCACTAAACTTTCTCCCCCAACAAACCGTTTGTGGTGTTATTACAATATATACAGACGTTATATATAAGTATGTATATATTTTGTTCACAACTGTACAGCTAAGCTGATATAGTTCAGGCACTAGGAGTCGTCGTTATACACACAGTCAGCTGGCGGCTCCCTCACTCATTCAAGGTTACACGCACTAAACTTTCTCACCCAACAATACCATTTGTGGTGTTATTACGCTTTATACAGATGTTATATATAAGTATGTATATACTGTATTTTGTTCACCACATCTGTACAGCTAAGCTGATATAGTTCAGGCACTAAGAGTCGTCGCTATACACACAGTCAGAATGGCGGCTTCCTCACTCATTGAAGGTCACATTCACTAAACTTTCTCCCTCAACAATACTGTTTGCAGTGTTATTACCCTATATACACATATTATACATAAGTATCTACATGTTGTATGCACCGTAACTGTACACCTAAGCTTGTAGAGTGCCCAAAGAGCATAGTGGCCACCCTCTAAACAGCTAAGACAAATCATGCAGACGATGTCACCTCCGTCACCCAAATGGCTCCTCCCAGCATAATCCTTTTGCTGTTATTACACTAATACACACACATTATATGTAAGTATCTACATTTGTGTTCACCATAGAGAACCACTGAGCCGGTATGGTGAATGCAGACAATAACAGGTGGCCACACAGTCAGTAAACGATGCTATCTCCCTCCGTCTCTCAGCATTACTTGTCCCACAGCACTAATAATTACAACAATCCTGCGATTATCACAACCCTGGTTATTTATATCACAGTCAGGGGTCATCTGTAATATTGTCATCGCTAAATAATAGCAATCGGCAATACTGTGGTCACAAGCTGAACAGCAATGCTGTTTGCTCATGCTGCGTGCGCCAGCCTTGGTTGCTCCAACAGTACTGTGCCTCTCATACCTGAGAATATTGCCCACGATTTTTTTTTTTAAATGGCGTCTGTTTACAAGAGCCCTGAGAAAGCTAATGTGAACCCTGTGTAGCCGCGGGCCATTTGAATCGGGCCTGGCACCCTATGGCGTATATGTACGCCATGCGCCCCATGGGACATGTTACTCATGGCATATATATACACCATGCGCAGTTTAAGGGTTAAACAAGAACAACATAATTTATGTGCATCGTCGGAGGCGTCCGAGAATGTGCAAGAAGCAGCGCGACCCCACCATGTGGTGTTCTCGTTACTCAAACGAGTGTTCACTATACAGGACGATTTGATGCCGATCGGGCCGTTCGTTACCCAAAATGTTCGCCTTTTGGGGCGATCGTTATGCGAGGTACCACTGTATATTTAAGTTCTGTATGGCAAATACACTTAGGCATAACAATGAACAGAGGCATGAGGTGAAAGGAAACATGCCCAACTTTGTGTCCTTTATCTGGGAAATAAACCTGGGTCCCTCAACTGTAAGTCAAGTACCCAGACCACTGTGCTACAGGACTCCCTGTTGGAGTGTTGTCCATGGTCTCTTCGGTCCATGGGTGTGAACGAGTCCTTGACAACCGTCTTTTCTAATACGTTACTTCTGTTAACTCATTTATTTATAATGTTATAATATAATTTTGCATATAAATTGTTAAATATCTTGTTAGCTTATACTATTAGGCTAAATAAAAACTTGATTATAGCTTCAAACATTAGGTTAGTTTGCAAATAACGTATCTAAAGTCTGTCATATCCTTGGCACTAAAAGTGCTAGATTTTCATTTACCCCCATTGTATATATTGCATTTTATATCCAGTACTGTATAGGCCAGTATGAAATTGTACTTATTGTTTTAATTTCTTATTCTTTCACCAGTTTGTCCATCATGTAATAGACGGTATGTGTGGGGGAATAGCTGTTTCCCAGGAGATGTATAAAGACTGTCCACTTGACAAGTTCTGGCTGGCTGTACAGCAAGTGAAGACTGTTGCACACGATATTGCACTGGGAAAGTTATCAAAAGAAAAGGTAAGCATAAAACTAATCACAATTTTTCTTTCCCCTTTTGTCAATCTTCATGGTTATTTAACCCTCAAACCGCTAAGGGCCCAAATGGATTTAACACCCACAGGCGCAACAAAAAAAAAAATTCCAAAAAATTATTTTGTCACATTATATATAAGTTTTATTTACCTGTTTTATTTACCATACCTGTACAAATAAGCTGGTATGGTGCCCAAAGACCATAGTGGCCACCAGTAAACAACATGATAAGTTGTGCAAACGACACACCTCCCTCACCAAAATGACGGCTCCCAACGTACTCCTATTGCTGTTATCACACTCTACACACACACGTTATATATAAGTATCTACATTTGTGTTCACCATAGCGAACCACTAAGCTGGTATGGTTATCTTGAGATGATTTCGGGGCTTTAGTGTCCCGCGGCCCGGTCCTCGACCAGGCCTCCACCCCCAGGAAGCAGCCCATGACAGCTGACTAACACCCAGGTACCTATTTACTGCTAGGTAACAGGGGCATTCAGGGTGAAAGGAAACTTTGCCCATTTGTTTCTGCCTCGTGCGGGAATCGAACCCGCGTCACAGAATTACGAGTCCTGCGCGCTATCCACTAGGCTACGAGGTGAGTGCAGTCAATAAAAGGTGGCCGCACACAGTCAGAAGACGACACCACAACCCTCCCTCCCACATCCTTACTCCTCCCTCCATGGAGCATAGCGCTAAATATCGCCACAATCCAGCTATTATCAGAATCCTGGTCAGTTTTATCACAGTCAGGGGTCTTCTATAATACTATCATCACTAAATAATAGCGTGATCATATATATATTATGGCATTTGTAGGCGATGCTGTGGTCAAAAGCAGAACAGCGGTGCCGTGAGCTCGTGCTGCATGCGCCAGCCTTGGTGGCTTGCTCAATACTGCCGCTCTCACACCCAAGAATGTTGGCCTGGATTTTTTTTTTAGGTGGCATCTGGCAACTATTGGTCGTCGCTGTACTATAGCTGCCCCTATCCCAGGCGGGGTGTTTAAATTATAGCGCTAGACACGAAATCATATATATATGACATGCGCAGTTTCGGTTTTGCCAATGAAAGCATGCATATATATATATATATATATATATATATATATATGCATGCATATATATATATATATATATATATATATAATATAATGTGACGGAAAAGTGTAGGAGTGTTGATGTTCGGCAGTCCTCCAATGGCAGGTGTCAATGCCTAGTCACACTTACAAAAAAAAAGATAGACTGCTTGGCTGTTTATCTGTGGTAAAGTAAGGGAAGACACGCAAAACACATAGTATGAGCAATGAAACTTTAACATAGAAAACAAATTAAAAACAAAGACAATCCCTTGGCTATGTACAGTGCAAACAAACAAGTAAAAAAATATAACATAAGAATAAAGAATAGGGATGACGTTACTCTACAATAATATAAAGACAAAGTGATTAAAGAGGTGCTGAGAATATAGCGCTAGCTGAGATACATCCACCTGATAGACAGCGTATATCAGTTAGTTGTTCACGGCTTGAGAACACAAGGATATTCTGACTTCAATAGCTGGTTCAAGCCCAGACATCGACTTGTAGAGGGCGCTGAGGTGCAGGTGTGCAGTCGGTGAGTCACCAATCGGAAGCAGGCAAGCTGGGAATGGTAGTTTGCTGGTTGATGACGGAGCCGGCATGGAGGGAGTGTGGAGTAGGGGGGAGTCTTGGGTACGTTTGCCTCCTGGTCAAAACGTTTTGTGCTACTGGTAGACGTATCTTGAAGGTAGCATCTTATTGTTGTATAATATACGTAACTTTATGTAGAGAAGAGCAGGCTCAATCTCTCTTGAAAGAGATTGTCACAAAATATATATATATATATATATATATATATATATATATATATATATATATATATATATATATATATATATATATATATGTCGTACCTAGTAGCCAGAACGCACTTCTCAGCCTACTATGCAAGGCCCGATTTGCCTAATAAGCCAAGTTTTAATGAATTAATATATTTTCTCTAATTTTTTTCTTATGAAATGATAAAGCTACCCATTTCATTATGTATGAGGTCAATTTTTTTTTATTGGAGTAAAAATTAATGTAGATATATGACCGAACCTAACCAACCCTACCTAACATAACCTAACCTATCTTTATACGTTAGGTTAAGTTAGGTAGCCGAAAAAGTTAGGTTAGGTTAGGTTAGGTAGGTTAGGTAGTCGAAAAACAATTAATTCATGAAAACTTGGCTTATTAGGCAAAATGGGCCTTGCATAGTAGGCCGAGAAGTGCGTTCTGGCTACTAGGTACGACATATATATATATATAATATAATTTGTGCAGTTTAAGGGTTAAAGTGTATCTTGTAATCACCTATTTGTATTCACCTAGTTGTGCTTATTTCCCTGAAATTTCATTCACTGAAATCTTCATTTGAAACTGTACGGAGTCTGCCTCCACCACATCACTGCCTAATGTGCAGCAGTGTGTGCCATCACATATGTAATTACCTAAGTGTAGTTGCAGGATGAGAACTATGCTCTGTGGTTGCAGGTTGGATAACAAGAACTTTTCACACTAGAGATGCTATACCGATGATGACACTTTTCAAAACGCTTGTGCTCTCTAGAGTGGAGTACTGCTGCACAATGACAGCGCCTTTCAAAGCTGGAGAAATTGCCAACCTGGAGAGCGTGCAGAGAGCCTATACTGCTAGAATTCACTCAGTAAAACACCTAAACTATTGGGACCGACTAAAGAGCCTAAATCTGTACTCCCTTGAGCGCAGGCGGGAGAGATATATAATAATTTACACGTGGAAAATGTTAGAGGGGCTGGTCCCAAACCTGCACACAGAAATAACATCACATGAGACCAGAAGACATGGCAGAATGTGCAGAATACCCCCGTTGAAAAGCGGAGGTGCAACAGGTACTCTGAGAGAGAACTCTATCAACATCAGAGGCCCAAGACTGTTCAACACGCTTCCGCTACACATAAGGGGCATAACTGGCCGACCCCTCACAGTGTTCAAGAGAGAACTGGATAAGCACCTCCAAAGGATACTTGATCAACCAGGCTGTGACTCATACGTCAGGCTGCGAGCAGCCGCGTCCAACAGCCTGGTTGATCAGTCCAGCAACCAGGAGGCCTGGTCGACGACCGGGCCGCGGGGACCTGGAAGCCCCGGAAGCTCCTCAAGGTAACCTCAAGGAAGGTAAGGTAACCTCAAGGTGGTGTCCCGTCTTCCCAGTACTCTTTGTTGTACTTATAACACTTCAAAACTATTGATGATTTTGGCCTAAACCACCTTCTCACTTGTTCCAGTCATCTATCACTCTGTTTGCAAAAGAAAACTTTATGTTTTTTGGCACCTTTGTTTCCTTAGCTTAAATCTGTGTTCTCTTTTTTGTGATGTTGCTGGTTTAAGGAATTTATCCTTGTCAATTTGGTAGGTTAATGTTAGAATTTTGTATGTGGTGATCATATTGTCTCTTTTTCTTCTATCTTCTAGTTTTGGCATCTTTAACCACTGTGATGCGCCGAGTTTATTGTGACATTTCCCCTGTGTACATGAAATCAAGTGTTCCCCCAAAAATTATTTTTCCTTGTAAAATGATAAATTCCCTTCCCTGAACATGTCTATGTAAAAATAAATACAAAATTCCACTTACCTTGGCTGTGGGGACGTGGACAAGGTGCGCTGTGACTTTATCACGGCTGATCGTTCGTGCGTGAAGCTCCCAGAGGCAGTCACGCGGGCCATTCAAGCATTGCGAGTTGCCACAAATATATTTTCAATTATTTGTTCTATGTATTTCCAATGTGGTATTATTTGTTTTTTATCGTATATGATGCATATTTGTGTTCTTTACAATATATAGGGGTGTAGGGTGTTGTGTTCTTTACAATATGTAATACATATACAATAGAATCTTTATAATGTTCCATGGAACTGTGATACATGTGTCAGTAATGTGTCCACAATAAATGTTTATTGTCGCAATATTACTTGTTAAAAATTCACAAATTACAATATGTACAGTTTCACACTGCACAGTAATACACTGTATTACACTCAGTTCTTTGGAAGTGAGTAATAATTAACGAAGTAGTCTATTGTGATCTGCTGGTAGCCGGTCGGCCGAGCGGACAGCACGCTGGACTTGTGATCCTGTGGTCCTGGGTTCGATCCCAGGCGCCGGCGAGAAACAATGGGCAGAGTTTCTTTCACCCTATGCCCCTGTTACTTAGCAGTAAAATAGGTACCTGGGTGTTAATCAGCTGTCACGGGCTGCTTCCTGGGGGTGGAGGCCTGGTCGGGGACCAGGCCGTGGGGACACTAAAAAAAAAAAATCCCCGAAATCATCGCAAGATAACCTCAAGATAGTCTATGGTACACAGAGCGACTACGCTCTCGTTGCACCAGATACAGATAGATTTTCGCTTCCTGTTTCTTCGTTCTGTGTGCTTGCATAACACACTCCCATACACCCTTGGCTTTAGTGCTTGTAGGTGGTATGTAGCCAAGCTTGTAAAGCATAAGGTAGTCTTGAAAAGATTATTGGAAATGATCAATTTATAAGGTAGTCTTGAAAAGATGGCTTTGTATGGTCCCTGACTGGAAGAGATTCAGCCATTCTGGAAGAGATTCAATCATTTTTGGAGAGTGTCAGTCAATCTAGAAGAGATTCAGCCATTCTGGAAGAGAATCAGCTATTCTTGAAAATACTGTATCTATGGAAAACATCACAATGGAAGCCGCTAACACTGTTCATCTATGCTACTTGTATCAGATGCATGATCACTGAATCCAGAAAATGATTCATTTATGTATCATCTACTGTATCCACTCGATTTAACGGCCTTTTATTTACCGATCTGCCGGTAATAACGACCGGTTTGGGAGACCGGTATCTGGAACCTCGTATGCCGGTCTGGCGGTTGATAGGACCGTAGATCGGTATTGGGTTTG